AAAACTACCTTAAACTATGTGAGAAAGAACGCCAACAACCGCTGGAAGAGTTCATCGCACCTGGTAAATGGCCATGGCGCACCGCTCCTGCAGCTCCTCGTTCTCACTCTTTTAGGTTCTTGATAAGGTTTTCAATGATCCTTTCTGCTTTGATTGCAGCCCGGTAGTTTTCCTAGGATAAAAACCTACGTATTTATGTGTCTAAGGCATGAATATAAGTATCTGTTTACATTTAGTAATAAACATGCTGAGAACAAACTTTCTTAGGAAATAATCACCAAAGTCTAAGCTTGACATATCCCTACATCAATAAGAGAATTAACTGAATTAATATATGTGTGTGTGTATATATAGTGTGTAGATATATATGTCAGCATATATATGTGTGATATATATAAAAATGTCAGTATATATGTGAGATATATAAATACATGTGTGTGTGTGTGTGTATATATCACAGATACTGATTTAATTAATGTCCTATCAGTTAGATCTTCTCCTTCTCATAGAATGCTGACTTCTTAAAAAAAATGTCCTTGAGCCATCAAGATAACTTTAAAAACAACTTTTGGACTAAAGAAAGTGAAGTTGAGAAGGCAAGGGAAGCAGAACTGGCGTGAGTACCTCTGATGCACACTCTTGCAATGTCCCCACCACCGGAATTAGCATGTTTTCATGAGAAGTCTTCAGCAGCTGAGCCAACAGAGGAATGCCCCCAGCTTTGCGGATGGCTTCTTTATTCATATGACTCTTACTGCAGCTCCACAGGGCCAGTGCCCCACAGCGAGCCACTTCCATGTCTCTGGCCTCACACAGACTCGATTGGGCAGGTTTTGTGGAATAATGTGCACAGTCCAGTAGAGCAACCTACAATAATTGATAAATCCAATGTTCATGGAAATCTTAAAAAGAACATTTAAGTCATTCTTCAATAGCTACAGGGTTGTTTACCAAACTCACCTCCATCAAAAACAAGAATGCTTTAAAAAATCAATTTTCATAGTCCATAGCAGCCAGGGAAAGCAAACAAACAAAACCCTACAAAAAAACCTTCCTCCAGATTTGGGAGCTTATACATTTCCTTCCCACAAGAAATGTAAGCCCACCAAGATAGTATTTTCTTAACACGGCTCTAATATTTACGTTAATCATATTTGTAAACCACATCCTCAGCCCAAACATCTCAGAAAACCAGCTTCCCTAAAACCATCAGCACTTTCTAAGGAGAAATGAATGGACTATACACTCTTAAAGCCATAAGACCTGACCAGGAACAGTGGCTGATGCCTGTAATCCCAACACTTTAGGAGGCCGAGGTGGGAGGATCACTTGAGGCCAGGAATTAGAGACCAGCCTGAACAACATAGCAAGATCCTGTTTCTACAAAACAAAACAAAACAAAACAAAAAAAACACTGGATGTGGTGGTGCACGCCTGTAGTCCCAGCTACTCAGAAGGCTGAGGTGGGAGGACTGTTTGGGTCTAGGAGTTCAAGTCTGCAGTGAGTTACGATATCAACACTGCATTCCAGCCTGGGCAACAAAGCAAGATCCTGCCTCCAAAAAACAAACAAACAACAACAAAAAAAAACCATGAGATCTCTTTGGAGGACATAGTCTACCTCATATGCTACTGAAACCAACCAAACCAAACAGTACAACTGCTAGCATCCAGTTTTTTTCTTTACAATAACTAAAGTCACTGAAGAGCTTAAGGGAAAGGCAATTTACTATAAGGATTAAGCAGTATGTGTGTCAGGTTGCCCATGGAAGAAGGGAAGCTAGACCTCCTAGAGCTGTGATTGGCTGTCAGCCATCCTTGTAGGCTCACTGTCTCTATCTGGGGCTTGGGAGCAATCATCTATGCATGTCTACTCCATTATTTCTCTCCCTGAAGGTCAAATTCCACAGATACTGCCCATAACCATCAATCTCAAATTATAAGGGAATAATAGCCCAGGCTAGGTAGAGTCTCTCAATCCCAATTCCAAGTTCCTGGAGGAGAGATCCAGTGGACGGGCTTGAGTCAGGTGGAAACTCCTGGTCTAATTAGTTATGGGCCCAGAAAGATGGGAATGGGGCTACGGAGGCTTCCAGGTACTGACTGCAGATGGGATAGCAATGTGGGGAAAAACTCTAAGACCGTGGGATTGAACACAGATGCAAAACAATGAATTGAGTGACGGAAATGCTCAGAAAGCCTGTACCATTTGTGACTGTTTTGGAACTGCGTGGGTGGTTAGGAGGTGCTCCTCACAATCTTTGCCTTGCAAAAATTTATTCCTTGATTTAACCCACTGCCACTATGACCAGCACGACTGGCTGATTCACCAAAAAGTGGTTAAATAATTGTCTTACTGGTTTTGATGAATCTTTCTTAAATGTATGTACAGATCATAGTCATTTCAATGTTTTGTTTGTTTTGTTTTTGTTTTTTTTGGAGATGGAGTCTTGCTTGTCACCCAGGCTGGTTGCAGTGGCAATCTCAGCTCCTGCAAGCTCCGCCTCCTGGGTTCACACCATTCTCCTGCCTCAGCCTCCCAAGTAGCTGGGACTACAGGCGCCCACCACAATGCCTGACTAATTTTTTGTATATTTAGTAGAGACAGGGTTTCACTGTGTTAGCCAGGATGGTCTCGATCTCCTGACCTCGTGATCACACCGCCTCAGCCTCCCAAAATGCTGGGATTACAGGCGTGACCACTGCGCCCAGCCTTCAATTTTTAATGTTGAAAGTTTTGGGTCTTCATTTAGAAGTCTGGTGATATTTTTGTGACCAGAAAATGCCATAGGACCTTAGTTCTTGTTTATATCAGTTATCTATTAGGAAAACTGGTTTTGTTACATCTTGTTTTGCTTAAAGTCACAATTTTGGAACCTGTTGATATTGAATGAACACTTACTGTACCAGGCTCCTGAATGTGATGCCATAAAACATATTTATATTAACATTATCCTTCTTATAATTTAATGGAGTAGTGTCAGTAGACAGGTCACATCAACCTACCAAATTGTTTCATTATTTAAGCAGAATAATGATAATCATAGTAATAATTAAATTTTCTGTACCATTTTAATGAAAACTTTTGAACAGAAAAGCTAAAGAACTGTACAATGATTGCACACAACCTCCTACATCCACCACTGGGTCTCTAATTAACATTCTGCCACATTCTGTTTATTACTATTTCGCCATCTATTCACCATCTACCCAACCATAAGTCTATTCTTAATTTTTTGAACAAATACATGTATAGGTGCTTTCAGATGACAAGTGAAAACACAGAATTGTCTTTTGAAATTTCTGAACATTTTTCAGTGTACCATTTACATTAAAAATTCATATTTGCCCAGCGGGCATATATTAACCTTTATATGGGTACAGTACTGGGCTAGTGCTGTGAAGACACTGGATGAATAAGGCCTGTCACTTAAAGTGCAGAAGTGGAAACCAATACAGTAAGATAACAGCTCTGGGTGAGACACAGATCTACTGATCCTTACTAAGAAGGTGAAAAACATGTGACTTTTTAAAGATCTTTCCTAACTGATGGCAAAGGTGGTAAGCAGGTTCTGGTATTTCTTTTGATGCCAGCTATTGAGGAAATCATTTTTTCTGATTATAAAAGCAAGACTTAGACAAAGAAGACAAAATTGGCAACGTAAAAAGCAGGCAGAAAAATCAGTCATCGATTCAGAGAAAACTTCTGAGAGCAATTTCTGGTTATTTCCAGTGGGTTTTTTCCTACACTGGTGGGTACATCTTTAAAAAATTGGGATCATCGATAACAACAGTTTTTAATCCTGGTCATGTTCTATACAATATTAAATATTATTACATTTTATTCCTTGCTATTAAATACTTTCAGGCTGGGTGCGATGGCTCATGCCTGTAATCAGCCACTCTTGGGAGGCCAAGGCAGGCAGA